ATGTATATGGGGCGGGGGGGCGGGACCAGAAAAGACGAAATACAAACAGATTAAACTTGACTTTTTAGGGTCTGCGTCCCGTTTTATCACTGGAGATATTTTGTTTCTGTTTTATTATGTAGCGATAGGAAATTATTTTTCTTCATTCGCTGGGACCCGTCATCGAGGCTCCTCCCATTTTTACGAAGGTATAAGGATCAGAATTTTGTTTTACTGAGGAAGTGCGATAGTTGTACGCAGGAGAGGTATTCCCCATCCGATCTCCGTCATGCAGCACGCGGAGGATTTCCAGCTCTTCACTGTGACGTCTTTTATTTGTTACTAGACATGCGCAGCGGCAAAACATTCGTTTCGTTTGGGACTTGGGTCCGAAAGTCAATTCGCTTCAGGATTCGGATTCGCACGAAATTTGTTAGCGGTAGTTCTGTACGAATTGTCGTTTCGTTCTTTCGTTGCAGCAAAGTGACACCCACCCAATGCCGAGGGGATGTGGCCTGGTAAGGTGCAGGGAGGAGGGGGGGGGGGCACTCGGTCCACCCCCCCAAGGGGGGCCCCCGACCCCCCCCCCCCTTTCCTGCCCTGCCAGTGCTCGGATCAAGTGTCTGGTAGGAATTTTAGGGGGGACCCCATGTTTCCCCCCCCATTTTTTGGTGCTTTTTCACAAAGCCGGGCCAAAGAATTTTGGATGAACAGTTCGGGGGCGTTCTGACATGCAATAGCCCAACCGGGGGGGATTCCCCCATCCATGCGGATAGTGCGGATGAGGGAATCGAGAGTGTATGGCCAGCGTCATACAACCCATTTGTCTTCTGCTGTCTGAATCTGAATAAGCAATGCAAGTTAGGTCAGATGGGCCCCCTTCAGATTCTGGGGTCACTGTAACCTCCACCACTATATGCTGAAGAGGAAAAAAAAAAAAGCGTGAGGTTCTCCCCCCAATTCATACCAGATCCTTCAGGTCTGCTAGGAATGTTAGGAGGGACCCCCCCAAGTTAAAACAAAAAAAAAGTGCGT